AATATTCGCAGAAAAGAGAGAAGGTCTCAGCTCCATCGGAGGTCTTTCCGGATGTTTTTTTGTGGAATATTGAAAATTTCGATATATGAAATGGGTTGAAGTCTCAATTAGAATAATTTAAAAACACTAGCTATTATTATTAATTAGAAGATTAGTATTATTTTTTCTCATTTTAAATTGTAGATCCCATTAATCAACTGGCAGATTATCTTTTTCGAAGTTATGATAAAGAAAAACTATTTTAATCCGGAATTACAATGTCCTAATTCAAAATGATCAAGTGCATTTTGTTTATATATCCAAAAATTTGAAATTAAAACAATAGATAATACAACCTGATTGAGTAAAAAGAGGTGTGGTCTCTTATGGAGTTTTCTAGAATCTCTATGGTCCTCCTAATAAATGCCAATTGAAAAAAATCGATTACCAATTAATTTACTCACTTTATCAAGCTCTATTTAATGTTATCTTCAATATTTTTCCAGTTTAAATATTTTGATTTCACTAACTGGACCATTTACTAAATAATTGCACATATATTAATGATACCTCAATGGCGTTTTCTCCACAGAAGTAGTGATTTCCATCGGAGTAAGACATTGAATCCATTATGATAATTAGATTGCAAGAATAGCTAAAAAAGTTAGGGGAAAATTATAGTAATTGACAAAAGTAAATAGGTTTTAAGACAGAATGAATAATCTTTACTAATCTCGAAGTCAAAACTCTGTTTGTCCGAGCCCTTTACTTTGGTTCAATTACTTGGACAGGTTATTCTAGAAGTTCGAGCTTACCAAAATGTCAATAGTTCTCCACTAAAGGCACCAGGCAATGAGAAGTCAGAAAATCTATTTTTTGGGATAACAGAAACATGTATTTACTTTCACTGTTGAGGTGTTTGAATGAGTTCCAATGACGAAAGGTGGAAAGTTATTTCCTTCTCGTGGGTTGCGTGATTGACTAACTTCCATGTGTTACATCCTGGGAAAACGTATGTCCATGCTGCAAAAAAAAGTCCATAAACAAGCAGTTGACTTCTGACTTTAAACTATCATGACCCAACTGTATGTCATTTTCTTCTGCCTTGTATCTGTCTCTCCCTGTTACATCTGTAAATCACTCTTCTAACCCTCCTCTTCCACTTGAATTTTTCTTACTTTGATGTTCCTTCCCTGGGGTGTGCGATAGACTTACCTCCACGTGGTGCACCCTGGGCAACGTATACTCATACGGCAAAAAAGTCTGTCACCTGGCAGTTGACTTCTGACTTCAAACTACCATGACCCCACTGTATGTCATATTCGACTACTTCCACAGTACTCACCTCACCTTTTTTTCTACCTTTTCTACCTTCGTCTTTGAAATACTCTTCTGTTCCCCTCCCCCCCTCTCGAATCTTTTTCACTTTGATGTTCCTTCCCCTCTGTGAAGCCTGAAGTCAACTAAAGGGCTAATGATAACCATCAAGACGCCTGCCATTTGATATAAATAAATAAATGTTCCTTCCCTCTGTGTAGACCCAAGTCAACTAAAGGGCTAATGATAACTATCATAAGGCCTGACATTAGACATAAATTTTCCAATCACCATCACTCCCATCTACTAGACTCTGTGTAAAGTGCCAATATCATATCCTTGTGTATGCATCCAACTTATTGAATATATG